GCAGCTTGGCTCCTCTGGGCAAAACGACACAGAACATGGATGAGATGAAGATGCCAAAGGTGAAGCGAAAATAGGAATTTACATCCACTGAAATTGACATTCATATTTGACTATTCAGCAGAACAGAGTTAATTTAGTCACCATTTGGTGATGAGTCACTTTTAGTTGATACAAGTTCGGACCTGCTTATAGATACAGGAAAGCAATCACAACTGACTGGATGAATTATATAAAAATTTAAATTTTTACATCTGCTCTTTGTTGTATGAAATGTACAATCTAGCGTTGAGCGACATGGCTGAAAACCATATCACATTATGAGCTTTTCATATCAGTTGATTTTAATAATTATTGATTAGTTTTACCTGCCAGGCATGTTTTTGTTGATATAAAGCTAAAAAAAAAAATAATAATAAAAAAAAAAAGTCAAGTCATATAATACCCTGCCTTTTTGGGCATCACTGCACTGGCCACAAAGAGCTAACTCTGGAGCGTATCAGTTCCAACCCTGTGATAAGTAATATTAAAACAAAATTTTTAAATTGCTGTTATTTTGTGTAAATTAATCATGGTTATTAATATTCTTTAACGTGTTTAAAAGCGTGTTAAAATGTGCAGAAAATGCAACCAGAGTCAAGTATTGGATTTCATTTGAGGCTGGAAATTCCACATTTTGCTTTTTATCGTCTTCTGTCAAAACAGACACCATCTGATGATGTTTTTTTTATATCCAAAGTCAGTATTCTTAGGAATTTACTTTAATACACTTATTCTACTGGAATTTTGCTATTGTAGTTATTTTTATTTAGGTGAAGTCATGTTCAGGGCAATGGTCGCCATTTTCACTTATGTCCAATACTTAGAAAAAGTGAGATGAAAACAACACAACATAATTGTTGTTTTGACGGTGCTGGTCAGTTTTGGTCATGATGTACCTGGTTTTTCTGGGTATAGCCTGGCGTCGCCTGACGTGGAGCATTTCATGAAGATTTGGTGAAAATTTATGCCTACCAGTGAGACATTTTGTGATATACTTTATGCTACTTTTAATAAGTGGTCATGTAACTAATGTGTAATGCAGTATCTACTACCAGGAGACTACTAATGAGCTTTTTTTTTTTTGGTTTTGTTATATATTTTATATTAACTGGCCAAAACGGGGATGGAAATAAGGTCAGATACAATATTTTGAGAATATAATACAATTAAATACAACTTTAAGACTTTTTATCCCCATAATGCAATAACATAGTATACTCCAACAAAAAAATTTGTTCTCACTGTTTACATTTCTGGGTAAAAACAAAAAAGTGAGTTTACAAGTACAAAGTAGAATAGAACAGAAAGTGAGAGGCAAAATGGAAGCATGCAGATTCTCAAGGGAAAACATAATAACAACACATAAGAAATAAGAACCTGTATAGTAAAGGCAGCCTTATAAATTATAGGAATAAAACACCAAAGAAATGTGCAATGAGCAGAAACAATTTAAAACATGTAAATATAAAAATAGGAAGTCACAATACAACAATGCGTATGTAGGAAATAGATCTGGGATTCCGCCTTTTACTACTTTAAACCCTCTGTGTTGAAATCCATCCATCCATCCATTTTCTGAACACCCTTGTCCCTCAGTGGGGTCGGGAGGGGTGCTGGTGCCTATCTCCAGCTAACGTTCCGAGCGAGAGGCGGGGTACACCCTGGACAGGTCGCCAGTCTGTCGCAGGGCCTGTGTTGAAATATAATGTCATAATCCAAAACGCCAGTGACAATTGGCTTTCTGAGGGGAACAAAGTGGCAAAGGGTGCAGCTCAGACGCCACAATCGGAACGACGCATGTGAAGGGAGAGCGCTTCGCTCAGTCTCCCAGCCAACACTCTTTTAATTACATGCCAATTAAGTAGAGCGGAGATGGTGAGATTCGGAAGATTTCTTTTGTACCAAACCTGGAGCGGCAGTAGGTGATGAGAGGCAAGCGTGGAGAGAGCAGAGAGGAGGTAAGAATTGCAAAGAGTTTCTTCTTCTTGGAGCTGAAATCAATGTGGGAGATAAAGCTGTGCTAGGTTTCTGTCAGATGATGCAGAGGATCATCTCCTCACAGTAGGAAGGCTTCCCCCGGTGCTGTGTCAGCAGGCTTTGATTACAGTGGCTTTTTTGTTGTGTTTCAAACAATTTCATCATGCCCACCCTTCCACCCCCCTCCCACACGCACTCTCTCCGCATTTGGTATGCAATGCAGCTCTGGCAATTTGTACGTGTTTGGATTCCAATTATGGAGTTGTTAAAGCCTTTTTGCCTGTGGCCTGCAAATTCTTATTAAGCCATACATTAAAGAGCACAGAATCACATTTAAATGGAGTTCATGTTTCTCTTTTGTTTCACAGTGTTGTGGTTGTTATTAATTTATTCGCAAAGCCCTATGCATTACACATTAACAAATAAATCGTCTTTCTGATTGTAATGCAAAATACTTGTTTCGTATTCAGAGATAGGGGCACCATTTGTCAACAACAACAACAAGCCCAGAGAGACCAAATGAGAAAGAAGAAAACCAAGAGGCCTGATAGAGCCATTCCATTTTACCCTTGCTGATTAAAGAAACAAACAAGCCCAAAACTGCGGCTTTCAGCATCGTTGTAGCTTTTTTTTTTTTTTTTTTGCACTCTGATGCAGAAGAGTGACAATCCTTTGAAGAGCTCAGTGGTTAATTGAGTGATTTACTTGGTGATGGCAATTGAAAATCATTAGGTTAGGGCTGCTGGGACACAGGAGGTCCGGGATGATGACATCAGGGTCACAGTTGGCGACCTCAAAGGTCCCGACCCTTTAAAAAACTCCATTACCGCCTGCCTTTCACAGCCAGCAGCGTGCTGACACTTCATAAAATACACAACCTCATATTTAACACATAATATTAAAATTTGGAGCGCGCATGCAAAACTTTTTGAGGCGTTCCCGTCGGCGCTGCACTGGAGACACAGCCGCGCTCTGTTGAGGCACAGGAAATATGGTTCATGGATGAATAAAAGCGATCTTGTATGAGGCAAGAAAAATGGACTGGAATATTGTCCGTGTAAAGACACTTAATACATCACCACCCACTGAATACATTTGGTTGATGAAATGAGATCCAGAATGCAAGGGCTGCTAATAAACCATCTTCAGAGTGGCAGAAATATGATGCATGCTGACCCATATGAACCTCATTAATAGAACACAAGCAAATCTATTTATCCAGATAGTCAGGGCGAAAATGATTGCCTCAATACTCGGTCTCCTTTCTCCCACATTTCTTTGCCTCTGCGGCTATTTTTCTCAGCTCTGCTTTTGCCTCTCAGTGTATTAAATGCGTACAGATGTGTGGTATAATTACATTTAGACTCTGCACTGGTTTAGATTGGATATGGGATTCCTTATGTTGGAAATGCACATTTCCTCCATTTGTAAATGAATCTGAGTAAATATGAAGTGATTTAAGGGTTCATAATTTTGCTCTTTTTGACCGAATCGTACAACTGCATATTACATGCCAATGAGCAAATTCAGCTGAAATGAACTCCAGTGTCATTTTTCTACACATCCGATATAGTAGTGTGATCTCAGACTAAACCAGAACGACACTGACTCTTTAGATTTGATGAAACATGACAGCAAAGATGCAGAATGCCGCATGAACCCTGCTTTGAATTTTGTGTAAGTGCTTTTTACATATCAGATATGGTCATTACTTGACTCACTTCGGCATATCCAGTGCTTGAAATGGCTCCAAAGGAAGGTCGGCCTGACCTTAGCTGAATTCTTATAAATTCAGCTAACAATTATAGTGCATTGCAATTTCATCTCCCAGACTGACAGGCAGCTGTTGCATCTGGAAAAAGAAATGAAATAGTGATGTCACAGCAAACATAACTTGACGTACTGATGTTTTCGCTCATCAGTCGTTAATATTTTTTTTCCTTTGTTCTCCTGTGTGCTGTGGTGGACACGCGATGACATTTCATTGCCAATTTTACTGTCGTGCCTTTGTGCAATGACAATAAAACAAACCTAAGTTACACATGCAGTATGCCAAGTGTGGGTCCATCACATTGTGACATAAATCAATGTTTTATGCAATGTTTCTTGTGTGAAGAAGGATTAAATAATGACAATATCACAACTTTAACGGGTTTACAAAAATGTCCCTTTTTTGTCCAAATTTGTTGTCGGTCAATAATTTTATTTTAACTTCAATTAGTCTTAGCTTGAGAATTAATTTCTTTTTTTTTAATATATGCTTTAAACGTTGAGCTTTATTTTATTAATTTGCAAAGATTTTTCACTCTGCAGGCATTTCTATTCTTTCCCCCTTTTTTTTGACCGATCCCATCTACTCATTAGACCTGTGGTCAAACTTGCCCCGTATCACTCTACATTCACATGTGCTCATGTCTGTGTGCTCATGAGAACATGGCAGCACACTTGACATGTTGTGCTCGGAAATTCACCTCCAAGTTTTACTACCTGTCTCTGACCTGCCTTCGACTCTTGTCAGCAATACCCCCACTCAACCCTTTCTCCTGCGTCTCTGAGCTTGTCTCCTTCGTCTTTCTTTTTCTATTTCTGTCCCTCTGAATATTTTTCCACTCTCTTGTTTCTTTTACCTCCTCTGCTGTCAGAGCTGTTCAGGATGAGGAGGACAATGGCATGGCTTGCAAGGAGGTTTGGGCAGGACGTAGCAAAGGGAAAAGGGAGGCTGGACTCACCTGACAATTGGCTTTTTTTTTTTTTTTGTTTCCTTCTTCCCTTGAGAGTACAAATGCTAAATTTTCTTTATTCCAAGAATATTTGTAGGTTGCAAATATTTTGACTGACTGTGACACAATGTGTTTTGCAATATGTATTTTAATTACAGTTTACAAATTCAAATTTGTGAATTTAGTAAGCGCTATGCCCATTTATGCGATTCGAACTCCTGTTTTAGTCTGATCTGTGTGCCATGTTCTATTTATTTGTTTCAGGTTGTGCATTCCTCACCTACTGCGCCCGTGAGTCTGCCATCAAGGCCCAAAACGCCCTCCATGAACAGAAAACACTGCCAGGGGTACGTATTTGTCTTTTTTCCCCCCCTCCTCTATTGACTCCTCCTCTCTCCCCTCCATGGTGGTCAGCGGTGCCATCTGCACCCGGCTGCACACCAGCCGGTATTATCCTTCTGTAGTCACCAGAGATGAAAAACACTTTGGAAAGCTTTTCAATCAATAGCCTAGCCTTTTGAAGGCCAGTTTTCAACTATTCCATGTGTCTCTCCTCAAGGGGATATTCTCGAGCATTGATCAGAACCTTCTCTGCCTCATACCTTTTAACCAAAAGCAGAGAATGGTATAGAAATAGAAAGCTCTGTAGTTCAGAGTCTAGAGTTCAATAAAACCCTGTGAAGAGGCATTAATCTTATTTTTGCATTTTGTTTGCTGTACGTGCATTTTGGCACGCCCGTGTGCATTTGTTGGATCAGTGTTTAAAAAGACAGTGACAGAAATAAGACAATTGGGTTGTACCAAACTGCATCAATAGATAACTATAAACCCCACAAGCCCTAAGACCCAAAGACAAAGACCCTGGCACACGCAACCAAAAGTCCTATTTTAGAGTTGGAAGGAGACTACAACTATTGATGTAGAGCCCTTTATTTCCACTAGCTTCCTTGAAAAACAAGTTGTTTCATTTATCCTGCAAATTAACCAAGCATGAGGCTAGAGGGCATTTTCTGATTTTTTTTTCTTTTTTTTTTTTTCTCTGAGCTGCATTTAAATAATAGGAAAGAAGAGAAATTATGAAAATTTTCCTTGCCCAGTAGAACTGGGCTACGTTCAAGGGAACTTAGTTTCTGAACCAGTCTTGTACAAAAAGGAGATTTTTTATTATATATATATTTTTACATTTAGGTTTACTATTCAGTAAATTTATCTAACGCCCAGATGTACATCTTACATTTGTGATTTATATTTAATCAGTCTTATACTCTACATTATAATGATGCTTTTGTCTTTCTCATTTTTTGTGACTTGTCATTTCTAAAAATCCATTCAGCATCACCCAGGAATGATGGAAAAAGGAAAAGTACAAGAATCTGTTTTATTAATCACAATTTATGCCAAAAAGAAACAATTTGCAAACATAAATTAACACCATTAAAAGAAATTCAAGATAGCGAACCTTCGCCCTGATCAAAAAGAACCAGGATATTTCTGAAAGACAGAAAGCTCACGTTTTTGTGTCCACTTCTCTTAAATGACAATGAATACTTGTTCACAGGATTGCCTTAATATAATATTTTTTTGATAAGGAGAATTTACACTGATCAACTCTAAAACTTGATTGATTTAGTTAAATAATAGGACATATCACAAACATTTCCCACCATTTTTGGTCCATACGTGAAACCGACGGATGGACTAGAGTCCCTCTCTTTTACACAACATAATTCCCAGGAATACAAATCACAATTGTTCATTTAATTAATGAGTCAGACCTCAAAGAACAAACAGAAATTGGTATTGGCCTGGAACAGCCTGACTGGTGCATATGCCTTATATAAAATAATTGCATGGTTACAATTTTTCTGCTCAGCCAAACAGAGATGCACAAACACACGCACACACCCATACACACACACACACACACGCACATACACGAACGACCAAACAGTACAACAAATCGATATGGGTGAAATGTCACCTGCATATTCCCGAGTCCCCATCATAAACTTAAACATTTTAAATAAGGAATGAAAATGTGATATTTAAAAATGTCTGTTTACTAGTATGTAACTCAGTGTTCCCATTGCAGCAGCAAAGAGTCAAATGAAAAATAAGCTTAACATTTTATGAAAAAAGGTTCAAACAGCCTAAACTTAAATCAGGTGTGTTCGACCAGGACCTCTAAAGTTTGTAGGACGTTGTGCCCCGGAGGAGCAGAGATGGGAAACATTACTTTAGGAGGCCCCCTGCAGTGAAAATAATCCTCTAACATCCGTTTGAACCATTCAGTCAGAATGTGGGTATGGCTTTCCATTTAAGGAACGTAAATTTATACCCATAACCCAGGATCGGGTTAAAAAGTTGTACTCCGACTAAGCCTGACTTTGAAAGTCCTTAATAGGCTAAATTTAAACAGGACATTTTGGCTGAAAATAATAAAAAAATAAAAAAATCATATTTTAGAATCATGATCCTGGGCTAAATCGCCATATAAAATGATAAATTTGGATATACAGTTTTGAGAGGGTAAGCCAAAGACGTTTATGCCTCAAGCTGAATAAATTCAGTAAATCTCATTAGTGTTCTGTTAATCCTTTTTTTTTAAATCCTCAATTAAATAGATAAGTTGTCAAAAACACTATTTATACCTAGTAAATATAGTCGTATCTGGCTTAAAAACAAGAAGGCAATGACCAAATTTCCAAGCTTGAGGCTTCAAAATTGCACTCTACACACTACCAAGAGTCTTCTTCACACTGATATGAAACTTATAGGCTGATTCAGATAACCTCCTGCGAGGTGTGACTAACAAAAGCTCTGGACAAGAATTCAAAGATGATCTGTACTTGGTTGTGCACAATGGGATATGCGTTCCCTGATTGGGAAAGTTGCCAAGAACAACTTTTAAAACGGAAAGTTTTCTTTAGTCCTCCAGTAGGCCTCTTCCTTCTCTCCCTCTTGGTCCTGTCCGAGCTACATCCTCCCAGTTTCCTCCCACTCCCTCTGCACCACTGTCGCTGCTCTTCCTGAGACAGAGCGTGTCATAGAAATGTAACAGCAAGACATTGACGAGTGTCAGGCTGAGGTTGCTCTGCCGTTCCGTTCCCTTCAGCTTTACTCACACATACAAACACCAACGGTCTGCAGAAACAGGGACAGTGTGTGCTTGATGTTCCAGCTACACATAGACGCAACACTTGCTGCGTACGACTTTGTTGCGTGCCAGTTGTCCCAAAGAATCCTCTAGGCCCATTTTCAATGCCACTGGAGCAACACAAACTATTATCGTAAGCAAGAAATATAACGTCGAGCTTAAATGGAAAGAAAACAAATACGCTGCTGCTTCTCGGAGCTCTTCACGTACAAACCTCTTGAGCTTTCCTGCTCCCTAAATCTGTCGCGACCTGATCCTCGTTACTCGACTATTTGATGGTAAGTAGTTACGCCACTTGTTTGTTTGCGAATCCTGCTTGTTGTGCACTTTGCCAGGGGCTGGGATTTAATTAATGGAAACTAGAAAATCTTCAGAGATCTTCTTTTAAATGTATAAATCTCTGCATTTTGTCAAAACTAGGTTTTGCTGCCTTGTAGGAGAATTTCATCCAAGCTCTATTTAAATTTATCTAAATTTACTTCATGAAAAGCCACCAAAATCCTGGAGTAAAGAGTATATTGTTATGACAAACAAAACTGTGTCAGAACAAGCATTACCACTGGCACAAATAGCTGACAAACATGCATGGTCACTGTTTAATATAACAACCTAGTCTTCTGAATTGTTAAATAAATGACTTGCTCTGTCGTTTTTGATGAGCGGGAGGTGGAAACCTCTAGAGCTGGTTTGTTTTTTGTTTGTTTGTGTTTTTTTTTTCTTTTTTTGCATCATTTCTCATTACAAGCATATAAAGCATGAGTTTTAAATGAGAGAATTATTATACAAAAAAAATAATAAAATAAACTAAGAACAAATTTCTCCTTCAGAAAAGCACCATTAAATTATTAGCTTTTCTTTTCTGTCTTTCATCCTCTAAACATATTTTGTCTGGTTACTTTATTAATATTGGTGATTGTTATTTTTTTTCTCCAGAAGAACACAAAATTTGAGGCAATGATTTAGCTGGTTCAACATTAATTATCAAAGTGCTTGATTTATGTCGCCTTATTATCACTGGGAAATGTGGAATATCTTGTGACAAACCAACACAAAGTAGCATAACGGAACAGTGTAAGGAATGTGAAATGTGATTTTCAAAATGAAAAGGAGCAAAAAAAAGTGAAAAGTGTGTTAAATATCACTACCACTTCACTAGTTTTGCACTACTTTGTGTCTGGATATCACATAAAGTCAAAATATAATTTAGGCATAATCATTTGATAATTGTAATGAGTCAGAATGTAGAAAAGTTAAAAGGGTATTAAAACATATGAACTGTCTACCATAATGTTTGAAAAACTTGTTTCACGTCAAGGTTGTGATGAAGTTGGTGTCACTAAAAAATGTTTTGGCCAGAAAACCACATTTTTTCTGTCAAAATGGTGGGAATTTGTACTTTTGTCTAGTAGGTAGAAGTTCAATCTTAGAGAAAAATGTTTGCATTCACTACATGTATTGAACATCACAACTCTATTCTCTTGTCTCTGTAACATCGCTCACTTGGAAACAACAGTTTAACTTGTCGGCAAAAAAAAAAAATCATCCTAAGAAACACAGTTTGGATTTAAATCCAAAGAAGATCCTCGATATTAGTCCAGTAAAAACAAAACGCTCAGATGGCTGAGTGGTTGAACTACTGCTACTGTCATAGTTTCTCACCATGTAATTGTTTCAAAGATTAAAAATAAATTGGAAATAAATTGGACTGCCATACTGTTGGACCCACTCTAAGCATTTGGCATGGAAAGGTGAACGTTTATTATTGCAGACATAACGTCTGCATAATGTTGACTAAGATTATAATATATTGCAATCTTTGAGTAGAACTTGCATAGAGTTCTACGCCATGGATATATATATATATATATATATATATATATTTTTTTTTTTTTTTTTTTTTTTTTTTTTTT